ACTGGCCATGGTGGGGAAGACTGGCACTTGGGGGGCCTGGGATTGACGGCTTGCAGGGGGGCAAGGGATACAACAGGGGTTTGTGGGGAGCTGGGAGTTAACATCCCAGGAGGCAGAGCAAGTCTGGGGTTGGAAACAGGCTGAGGAGGTCCAGGCTGCAGCATCCACAGGCACACCCCCAAAAAAGGCTGTGGGCAGGGCCAGGCTGCAATATCCATCAGCTCATACAAAAGCTGGGACGGAGGGAGCAGACTATGCTGGATAAGGGTACATGTGCAATCTGGGTCTCGGAGTGGGCTGGTGGGAAACTCCCCTGGTGGGCCATAGCTTGCGCGGGTGAGCATGTGGTTCAGGACTGGGTGTTGGTCAGGCCAGACAAGGTAACTCCACCCATTTGCTAGTGTATGGGGCGGTTCTGGATGGGGGTGGATCAGACAAGGTCAGGCCAACCTTAGCCCTTTGTCATGTGCAGGAGCCAGACTGCAGCATGGGTCATGCCGGGTTAGGCTATCACACCTAACAGTTTGCATGAGCCAGGCATAGAAGCAGACTAAGCAGGGCTAGACTGCAGCACCTGCTGCCCAGAACTGGGACTAGGGGTGGGTCAGGCCAGGTCAGGTTGGAGCACCTGATGGCAAAAGCTAAAACAGAGGCGAGGCTATGCTGAGCTGCATCAGAGCAACTAAATAGCACACACAATCTGTGGCTGGAACCAGGCCTGGTTGTACAAATTGACAAGCACAGAGACCAGGGCTAGGGTGGGCCTAGTTGGGGTTAGTGGGGGTCACTCCGACTAGGTTGTACGTCCTCTGGTGAAAGTGAGGGCTGAATGTGTGGAGGACAGGGTTGGGCTGAGCTGCAGCATCCATTGGTTTATGTAAGAGATGGGGGTGGAGAAAGAACTGACCCAGCAATTCCAACTACTAGTATATGCATAGACTGACACGGGAGACAGACAGAGCTGGAACCCACACTGGTAAGCAGACACAGAGTCAGGTCTGGGATCACTTCAGACAACTTTTCTTTGGGGATCCCTGTAGGCCCCAGTCTCCCAAGGATTAACTCCACAGCACAGCTTGTTTCTCAAGGGTGTAACAGGAAAGGCAATCATGGCCTGATACATTTAGCCTGTGGAGTTAATCCTTGGGAGACTGGGGCCTACAGATCCCCTCTCAACTGAACCACTGGACTCAGAACCACAACCACACAGGATTCATGGTCTGACTGTGGAGTGCATGTGTCAGAACTGGGTCTCCTCAGTAGCTTGGGTGGAACAGTGGATGACATACCCAGACGCACATGAAGGATATGGCAGTCTATTGGAACTATCAGAGGACATATGGTACCATAACAGAGAAAGGGGGTAGAACAAGTTGATCACCTACCCCAGCCAGGTGTTGGCAGCAAATACCTAGGCAAATGGACTGTCAGTCAACGGACCTTGGAAGGATTTCTTCATCCTTGGTTCAGCTAGATAAACAGCATTTCAGAACTACTGTGCACAATCCTCAGAGAATGCTCCACACTGGGGACCCTGGGATGATGCTGGGTGGCCAGTCCCCATCCCTGGGTACTGAGGTGGCTGGGGGGCTGGGTGCAGCTTCTCCCCTTATCTCCTCCCATTCCCCCAGATACAGAAGAAAAAAAAGAGAATGTGGAAACACTGGTTTTATCCACATTCCCCTATTCCTTGACCCTTACCACCCTAATCAACTACGTAAACATCATCAAAATTAAAATAAAATAATGGCCCATATCTCAGATGCACTTTGAACACAGCCAACGAGGTCCACAGCAAAATGTACACAGCTTCCTTGGCATGTCTTCACAGAGAGGTCATGATGACACAATCAACAAGCACTGCAGAACAACAGACTAATAACCAAAACCTTGCAAAGAAAAGCTAGTAGACTGGCTAGTCACTGCCTCCCACGATACACTCAGCAGATATAACTACAGCTCAGGTCATTTACCCTCACCTCCACTCCTTTCAATCTAATGAGAACAAACCAACAGTTTAGAAAGGAAGGGAAAAACAAACGACTACATAGAACCTGCATCAACGTATAAGCTCAAGTTGAGTCATCTATCATGACGGTCAGAATCATTAAAGGCTACATGGCACCTGGCCCCAGGAAAGCTGTGCATGAGCACAGACAGCAGGAATGCAGCGCTTAGGTGGGGTGGGCAGGCAGCCCCTCACATCAGGTAAGAAGTAGTAAAGGAAGACTGTGAGGACCCAGGGCCCACCTGAGGCTGGGGGAACTGCCTTCAGCCCTGTCTTCCAGGTTCTGACACACTCCAGCATGGTGAGCCTGTTTCCCTTCCTTAGTGAGAAACCCCACTAGATCCTCACAGCATCCCTAGTTTTATTTGTTTTGCCTTTGGGGTTTCTGTTTTTGTAACCAAACTGTATCTGACTCAGACATGTCTGGTCCTCTACTTCCGTGGAAGAGGCCACTGCACACAGCCAGGTTGCTAGTTGCTGGCTAGTTGTACAACTCAACTGCTTTCCAGCCTTGCTATATTACTTGTTTGTCTTTATCAATGGGCCCTGAATAACTCAGATCTGAAATATCAAACACTGTCTCTACACTGGCTTCACCATAAAAAGGAACCTGACATAAAAAGGAACCTGGTACAGATGCTTACTTTGTGATTCCACTCAGTCAAAGTGTTAAGATCCTAAGTAAACATGAAAAACAGCTGAGAAATAGTTTGTGAACACCAGATACTTTACTGTTTCTTGAGTAGTTCAGAGTCTATATATCCTATTTCCTTATTTGAGCTGTCTCTTGTATCAGTGTTTACAAGGACAAAACAATACTTTTGGTTAGCCTAGTTATCTGTCAAGGTCACTTCTATCAGTGTAACTCTTAGATGTATTCTCAGGCCTCTAACAAAGTGAGCGCAGTGCTGACATCAGAACAACTGAAGGGTGTGGCATGGCATGCTCCCCGTGAGTCACTGGGTGCTAGACTATGGGCACAAAATGACACCAACAGCAACATTCTGTTATAATGACCTGGCAGCGAGAACATGCCACCGAAGGCAATTGGGTCATCTTTGCCAAGGGAGCTGTATAAATTTTGCTGTGGACCTCACTGGCTTGTGTTCAAAGTACAGCTGAGATATTGGCCACTGAGGGACAATTATTGTGTCCATGGTTATCAGTTGTCCATTTTTCTGTGCATAAAAGCACCCACTCAAAGGTAAGCCAGAAGCTTTTACTTTTTCTTGAATGTGAACACAAAGCAAGCAGACACAGGAGATGGTGCTTTGAATGCTGAAGCCAAGGCACTCCAGCCTCGCATACCAGGCAGTTGTCAGGATTCGAATGGGAGTACTGACCTGCTGTTTCTGAAAGCCTCACCTGCTCTTACGTGTTCCTGAGTGACAACAAGTCCAAGGTAGGTCACTCCCAAACTCCTACAAGTTGTGGACTGGCTAAAGGTGTGCTCTAGGGATCTTCCTTGTGGTGGACTTAAGCCTTGTGGATAGCACCTTCTGTCCACACAGAATTAGTACTCGGAGAAGCAACGGAAAGGAAGTGAATGTAAACAATATGTAGGTTTGTTAGAACTAAGATTTTTCAACCACAAAAATAAAATTGTGGTGGAACTTCAGAGATTTAAAATTTGGTTAAAATTAAGTAAAAAAATTAAGGATTTCAGAATATGCTGCATTGCCTGCATTTCCTTAATATACTGAAAATGATTAAGATTAATTAACACTGAAGATTAATGCTTATAATGTCAGAAAGTCCAATTCTGCTATATGGTACTAATATAATTTAAATTCTAGTTGGTCTTCTCACAAGGAAAATTAATTACAGTTTTTATTATACTTAAATACTTATACATTGCTGAACTGCTCTTCAAGGAGTCTACTTGCCTGAAATAAAAATATTTTGACAAGCTGATTCAGAAATAATTTTTTGCTTTTTGAATTTTCCTTGGACCAGAAAGAAATGACCTTTAAACTATATATATTTTTCAATGCACCTGTGTACGTCCTTGGTATACACATTACAGAACATGCTTTACCTGTGACAGCACACCCTTAAAAAGTGGGACAGGGCAGGGTAAAATGTGAGCTAAGACACTGAAACTGTCACATGCTCTACAAACAACCCAAAAGAGCAGAACTTTTGTCCACTGGTAACTTTTTGGGGCATCCCTGAGACCCAGAGTTTGTTTTCTCACACAGTTGGCATCTTGAGGAAACACGATACTCTCACGAGTGTGTCTTCTACAGCCTGACACAGGGAAAAAAAATCTGGAACATTCTGACGTTTTAAGTTAGTGCAGAGGCTTTAAGAAATATGGGAGTGCTAAAAGAACATGAAGTCGACATAAGGAGAATTCCCATGAATCACGTGGTGTGATTGTACAAAAGCACACACACAGAAACATGCCTATGACACATAGACAGGTCATGACACAGGTTTCATTTTTTTAATAAGGGGAGTATTTATATGGAATTTTATGTCTTCTAGCAATTTACATGCAGCTATTAATATTAGGGTAAGCACAAAACAAAAAAACTTGGAATTTGGCCAAAGGCTCCTGGAATAAAGTATGAAAATGGAGAGAGAAACTGATTAGCATAAACAATGGTATTTATGGTGGTTACAAGTAATAACCAGTTGGGAGGTGATAGAGGCAGTCATAAACAACCAGAGCTTCTATAGATAAAACAGAAATGACTAGATGTCTTACACAGATAAATTAACTACAAAAATTAAATCCATTACCACTGAGAAGCGAAAACTCTAAATCAAAAATTCTAGTAAACACTTCAAGTAACACCAAAATAAATCAAACACCCTAATGAAGAACAATACGCTAAATATTGTCATTCACACAAAACTTAATACAAGATGCCCAGCTTCAAAGACAAAAATTCACAAAGACTTAAAAGTTTACCATTTAAATAACAAAGTCAACTCCATAGAGGCTCAGTTCAAATTTCTCTTGTCTATACAACCAGATCATGTCCAGACTGAGATTCGGCTGGTCCAAAACCCAGACCCGTGCCTTTTCCTTACCTTCTACAAGTAACACTGAAATCCAAGCCAATAGTATAGAAAAATAGGACGACGTCAAAATCAGGAATCATACTTCATTGAGAAGTTGTTAAAAAAGTAGTAAAACAATAAATCACTTAACCCATAGTCTTTATGTTTTAGAATAGGTTTAGGTGAATATTAAAAAGTAAATTTCATAATCACTGCTTATTTACATCTTTAATCAATTCCTTGAATTGTTTCAGGACTTCAAAGACCTGATCCAAGCTAAACTTGCAATAAATTAAAATTTCTCAGGAAATTCAATTAACTGATTTTGGAATCAATGTTTAAATGCTTAAGAAAAACTGGGATTCCTAAGTTTTGTGCTCTCCATATGAATTTAATTAGGTACACAAAGTACATATTGATTGCTTTGAATATTTTCCATGTCCAAAAGTCCCTCTGACAATTAAGGAACCAATCAATCATTATTTTATACACATGATTCTGAAAAGAATGGTTGTGATTACGGAATTTTACAACCCCTACTATAATCAAAAGGAAGAAGGGATTTTAAAAGCATACAGAAAGACAAAGCTGTGTTATCTATTCCCACCACAGTAACTGGCTTGGTTTTAAACACAACTTAATCCTAACTTAGTAGGAATCCCATTTCCCTATTAAGCCCTGGGTAGATGCACCATGACGTAGATGTATGATTGAGACTACTGCACACGTCTCACCACAGGATTTAAGTTGTGCTGAAGGAACAAAAGTCTGGAACACAAAAAGTTGACTGAAGATAAAAAATTTTAAAGGACCTTATTTTGGAAATCTGCTGTTTGGTAAGTCAGATACTTAAGAATTCCATATAGCTGCAAGGATACCTCCAGAAATAAGAAAAACACCAGTCTAACTTACCTGATGTCCAACAGTAGACATAAAACTATTTGAAATACCACATGATTCTGGCAAATCATTCGAAGCATTAATAGTCTCCATACTTATACACATCAGGCAAAGGTACAAGTAAAAAAAAAAAAACTAGAAAAAGCATTCTGTGATCATATTGGATTTCTGAGTGCTACTTTCCTGGCATTTGTTCCTAAGGAAATGAAAGAAAGAATCGAAGGAAGACCTCTTCCCCTTTACAAAGACATAAAAACAAAAACAGAAAACACGTTTGGGAATACAAATGTTCCAAAATCAACCACACTGTCAGTTAACTGCACGCTATCAAGCAGACCTACACTGATTATAGAACTTCTAAGTCACGCACATAGGCCTGACATTCTAAAGTCCTTTGCCAGGAGTTCCCATTCAGAATGGCCTGCCATGTGGCCAACAGCCACACGCTCATCAACCCAAGTTCACACATCTTGGGGGTGCTGAGTTGAGTCATGGAAGGTGAAACGGCATCAAAAATCATTCTCACAGTCAGGGCTTTTTCTTCATTTCTTCATCCCAGTCAAAATCTAACGCTTCATCATCTAGTTCCGGTAAAGTGAAGAGTGGGTTTTGGGGAAGGAGCATTCTCTCAGTTGACCCCAGCTGAAACGACTTCCTGTTGCTGCCAAGTGCTGTGGCTGCGGTTGTAGGAGGAGCACTCGGGCGACTCCCGCTCCAGTTCTTGCTTTCAGGAAGAGGAGGCGGAGATCCTGATTTGGATTCTGATTTGGATTCTGATGAGGAAGTAAAGCAGAAGTTTGCCAGTTTGGCTATTGTGCGAGCATGAACCTTACCACTCTTTCTTTCGCTTGAAACCTCCTCCTGTTTGCCTCTCTCTCGAGCTGCAGGACAATGCCCAGGGACACTCCCAGGCCCTGCTTTGGGGCGACTCACACTCTCCTCAGGCGCACATTGCACCTTCTCCTTGGATCCGTCCTCCGGTGGCTGCCCCGCCTGCCCCTTTGCCTTTCCTCGCAGCCGAGTTGAGCTTTTGGCTCCCGAGGGAGATGCTGGTGCTTCTAGAACCTGCACAGACACAGCTGCTTCTTTCTTTGGTTTACACTGGGGAACTTTAGGACTATGAACTGCTGTTTTAACTGTGTCAGTAGACACATGGTTGTGGTCTTCAGGGGAGTGGGTCAATTTGGACTTTTGTTTGAAAGTAAATTTTGCCAGTTTGGTTAGAGGGGCACTTGGATTCTCAACACTTCCCAGTTCAGGTTCTTCCTCCTGAGCAAGTGATTTGGATCTCTTTCGCTTGGGAGTTTCTAGCGTTCTTTCTGGGCTGTGCACAGGGATGGACTGTGAGTGAGATGGGTCTGGGGGCGTGGAAGGCACCCTGGCAGGGCTTCTGCAGTGCTCCTGGGCCTGTTTCTTGTGGGGCAGTGTGTGCAGCTTCTTAGGGACTTGATGAGTCAGTGCCAAGTCTGGCTCACCAGCAGGTATTGTTGCTGCAGAAACTGGTGCCACCTTTTCTGCCTTCTTACTCTCGCCCTTCCCTCTCCTCGGTGCAGTCTCTGTCTCTCCTGGTGACGGAGGTCGCTTGGCTTCCAAGCTGTTCCTCTGCCTTGGCTTCCTTTTGCTCTTGCTCTGCACTTTGTTGTTCAAGATTTTCTCAACCATGTTTTCCTCATTTGTTTTGGGACCAGGAGACACAAGATCAGAGCTGGTAGATTCCACAGGAGAAGTTGCCATTAGGTCGAACCAGTGCAAACTCTCATCTCTGCCACCTTGGTGCTCAGCTGAATACCTGCTACTTGTTGATGCACTGGGCTCCAGATGGGATGGGAGATCCGGAAGTGGGCTTCTCCTGGGACTGTCGCCTTCCTGAGAGGAGGTATGCACACCACAGCTCAGTTCTTGCGGGGTTGAAGTTTTGAACTCTGACCGTTCTGAATCATTTCCTGAGCGTCCTGGGCTACACTCTGCAGGCCGCACCACCTGCGGCTGAGATGGTCGCACACTCTGACTTTGTAACCTGTAGCAGAGACAAGTAAAGAACACATGTGCTGAAGAGAATCTGCTTTAAGCTCTCTCTTTAATCTCTGAGATGCCATCTCAAAGGTTTACGTTCAACACAGATCCAAGTTAATATCAAATACAGTCTCTTAGAGCAGAAAAAATAATCGTTTTTATCAAAATGGAGTTTACTCTGCTACGCATTCTCAATTGACTTGAAACTGTAGTAAGATAAAACGAAGCACAAATTTTGTCTTCACGTTTAGTTCTCCATGAAACTTCATTTAATTCACTTAAGTAGCTGATGTCGGGAGTAAAATGCTTAATCACTTCTCTCATGCTAAATGTTCAAATACAGGACAGACACCTTCGTAGAGCAGCTGATTGCTGACCAGGTCAGCTGCGGCTGTGGTTGTTGAGCAGCCACAGGCTGCAGAGCGAAAGACCAGAGACCGTGATCTCTCACATCTCTGAATTCCACCTCATCTAGACAGGCACCTTCCACAGGAGCCGAGAGTGTGCAACACCTCTGTGCTGAGTCTCCCACTGCCCACTGCACATTCCTACTCCTGGCAGAGTCATCCACGACACTCCACCCCAGGCCCAGGCATGTTTCAACACCAGTTCTGAGCTACTACTATCCATTGATTTAATACAAATGTTAAAGTTAGTTACCTACCCTCTCAAAGGATTTGCTCAGTGACAGTCTAAATCTCAGAGCACAGCAGAAATGGAAATAATGCTGGAGGGGGCCACTTTTTATCAGGGACTGTATTTCTCCAAAACAGTTCCTGTGGAAAGCCCTTCCTAACAGCCTGGAAATGACCTTTTATTATTAAGTACACCAGGACTCCACTCTCACGGAATAAGTCTGAAGACATTCCACAAAGATGGACAAACTATTCCAAAATTCATATGTAAGCACAAAAGGAGAATATATTTAGATGCATGAAAATGTAAATAATACACAAGCATGCTTCAAAAAGTTAACAAAACAATTAAGTTGGATGTGTAGTTTTACATAATTTGCAATTTCCATGAACTTTTATTTACGACAAAACTACGCAGAATTTTAAATTTTCTGTGTGTATGCCAAAATAAACTAACTTTTAAATTCCACTTTTCATTAACCTTGGAAGCACTCTCACTTATGTCTAGGAATGAAAGATTATAACTCATTTTTTTTCTTAATTCCTTACTGCTCCTTAAAAAATACTCTATAAAGTACTGCCCTTACAGCCAGAAAAAAAATCCACAAGGAATTACTCAAATATATTTTATATATTTTATGTATTTAGAAACATGAAGGCAACAAATTCACATTTCAATGCTACTAATCTGAGTTACAATCAAACAAAAAAGCAAAAACCTTTCAAATTCACTACTAACACACTACCTGATGTAAACTTGATGTCATATACACAGAATCATTAAGGCATCGTAACAACATGATAAAAGATGGGAAATTTAAGGGGTAAAATAGCTTATAAAAGATTTTTTACTTTAGAAATTATAAATTTCTTCTACATAAAATTCCTGCATTTTTATTAAACTTTCATAAAAAATAGCATCTGTGCACTGTTTTGAGATGGACAGGATAGCCACGAGCTGAGGTCAGACTGTGAGTAATAAAGTATTTTCTCAAAGAAAATATCATGAAAACGCAAAGCATTTTATTATGATCATGCAACCACCTTAAGGCAATGAGAACTTGCTCCTAAAGAGTAAAATCCAAGTGTTCGGTTTATCTCACTTGAGAAGACTGACTATAGACTGAGTCTTAGCAGTAATCTACTTGGTTTTGTTGATTTTAGCACCCACACTGTAACATGCCTGTGCATTATAAAGAAATGCCAGTAGGAAAAAAAAAAAAAGAACAACACTTTAGGGCAGAAACTTTTCTTTTTAACCTTCTTATGCCTCCAACATGATGCTGATTTTGAGATGTCCAACCACTATTTTTCTAACATTTAATGAGTCCTCATTCCCTCCTCCTCTTCTGCATCTAGCATATGCCAACTTCAAAAAGGTGGGGGTCAGTCAGAATGACCAGCCCTTCTTCAAGGCCAAAACAAATTTCTGGAGATGCCTGAAAAGCCCAAAGGAATAACTGCTCTTAGCCCCAAAATAATAAAAGCTCGGAGACCATAGAGAAGTGGGGTTGGGATAGCACTGATCTCAATACAAGTATTAGTCACAGTTTACACAGCCAGGCACCTGGGATACTACCAGGACAAAGATAGTGCCCACACATCCTCAGGAAGGCTGCTACAAACTAGAAAAGGAATGACACTAGGCAAAGAGTTGGGAGTGAATTAGAAAGAAACACTAGGAAGAGAATTCTCAAGATTCTACTTGACATATCCAGCAATTACAGAACAGTTTCCAAGTTCCCTTCTGAAATTGTCCCACTTTCACACACAATCCACCAACCAGACCCTGGCTTCAAGATTAACATCAAGGGACTGACATAATGGTGTAGCAAGCTAATGTTCCACCTTCAAGCACCAGCATCCCATATGGGTGCAGGTTTGTGTCCCAGCTGCTCCACTTCCAATGCAGCTCTCTACTTATGGCCTTGGAAAGCAGTGGAGGAAGGCCAAAAAAGCCTTGGAACCTTGCATACCTGTGGAAGGCTGGAAAGAAACTAATGAATGTGACACACCTATTGCCTCCATGTCTATTATCCACATTTTAGCAAATCATTACGAAAGGTACATTCTGAAACACTGTCTTTCTTGACCTGTTACCACAGACCTCAGGATATAGAAGCCAACTCCACCAAGCAGAAAGTGGATACTGAAGTAGTACTGGTTTTATTTTGACCACTGAGTTTTGGGTGGTTGATTCTAGGGCAATAAAACCTAGAGCATTGCCCCACAGACAGTACAGACAGATTTTGTACTTAGTACAAACAAGGGCTTCCCATTTTATACTTTCTTTTGTTTGTTTTTTCTTCCTTACCTTTTAAGTCTTCTAAGCTCTTCAACCAAGAGATTCCGCAGCTCTAACTTTTCCAGAATAAGTATGCACTGCCTCTTGTAGTGTTCCCCAGGGTTTTCAGGAAAGGAAGTGTGGAGAGCATTCACTCCTCCTAGCAGTGCTCCTCCCTGAAGGGAGAGAAAATACCAGGAAGAGTTAGCAAACCCAGTCTGCACAGAAGCAAGATTCTGCAAGAGTAACCACTGTCCCCAGGCGGCTGAGAGCAGCCCACCACAACCCTATCTTAAACATCAGGATGATCTGAGAGCCTCTTTTGCTGAGTCTCTGAGTTCCTGGTGGCAGTCATTGCTCCAGGAAGCTCCAACAACACTAGTGCGACCAAGAACAGCCTTCAGGTGTGCTGAGAAGAATGAGGAAAAATGGACTGAGACCCACCCCCAGCTACTCTCCATTGCTGCGCACAGCCATTGATACAGCATTTACTTGCCCAGCATACTTCCCTCTTATATAAGGTTACCTTTGGATATATTTCCAAGAACTAAAAGATCCACATTATGACCATTTTTCTGACTCTTGTTATGTTGCCTAGTAATAAGGGTAGACATAAGATACACAAAATATGCTCACCTGCATTGAAGATTCCATTACTGATACCACTGTAATAGCATCTTCCAGGGTCACAGTATCACGAAACATAAGACGGGCATGAGCTGAGAAAACAAAATGCACTTGTTTTTCAGGTATATTTGAGGTAAAAATATCATTTTCTACCTGATTCCTCCCCTAGATTGGATTTAATAAATGAGGTACTAATTGTAAATTAGTTTCACAAGAATAAGCACAAAGGTTTATGTTCAACTAGCTTTGAGGCTGTTTCTCCCATTCGGGGTCTAATCTGCACAGCCTAGGCACTTTTTGGTGGGTGTGCCAATTCTGTGTATTTACAAAAAAAGGTACTCTGGGCTTCAGTGCACAACGGGGCATTATAAGCATCTGCTGATTTTTAGCAAATTTTCATTTCTTTTTTTTTCTATCTATTATATCAGGAAAGGATGGCATAAGGACCATTAATAAATCAAAAAGTCTATTATAGAAATATACAAAATCAAAACTCATGTCTGATCTCTGGCATTTTTTAAATTGATGATCCTTGAACCTTCTAGTCACAAAAGTAACAAAACTGAAGCTTAGGAATTTCTTGTCCCAATAATAGCAATAAATCCTTTATAGTAGTTTTTATTTAGCCTATATTGTTTCATCATATAATACTTTCAGCTCATGTGAATATTTTTAAAGAATTATTTAACAACTGAATAAAATGTTAAAGGCCAATGGCAGGAAAAAAGGGTTTGAGATGCATACAGAGCATGTCATGTGGAAGATACAGGACAGAGTATTGCTGCTTTGGTTGTTAAAAACCCCACACAGAAAAGACTCCAAATAGAAACTATCCTACTGTAACTGATAGTAGAGATTCCAGTGAGAAACAGAACTTCAGAAATAACTGAGAAATGAATTGATATCTTAAGATAGCACAAAAATTCTTCTTTACTAACAGCACTATATTACACTCAATATTCAAAATGCAAACTAAGAAGAATGGAGGTCTCAGGGTTCAGAACCTATACTTTTAAAGTGTCCTGTGAGCATCTTGGTGTAAGGATTATTCCGATTCATCCTTGAATCCATGGTGCCAAGCCCCGTTTGTTGCACAGTACCTTCTGCTAGCCGTATCAAGCTCTCCAACAGTCGGATGGTTGTCCGGGCGGCACTCCGGCAGTCACTCTGCCTCTGCATTTGGTAGTAGCGCAGAAGGACTTGATTGCCCACGTCAGACAGTGTGGGCTGCAGTTTCCTAATGAGGCAGAAGTAGGTTTTCATCTTTTCCATGCTCCAGAGCTTCTCTGATTTGCTTGGGTAACCTGTGTATGTTAGGTACTGCATAAATAAATTCTAAGAGCACACACCTCATTTTAAGGGTTTTGATGGAGTTCTTGCACTCAATTCTAATAAACTTTTAGGTTCTGTAGCTATTGAATTATATATGTTTCTTTGTACAGCATTACTGGAATAAATCCTCTTGGATCTAGCTTTCATCTACATATTTGCAAGCAGAGAGGAAATACATAAACTAGTTCCCATCCACTGGTTTATGCTCCAGATGCCCAAAGCAGGCAAGACTATGCCAAGGGCGAAGACGAAAACTAGAACCTTGAACTGTTTCAAACACTGGCACTTCCTCCTGGACTCCCACATGCATTTAGGGTCCCAAGATTTTGGGCCATAATCCACTTCTTTCCCAGGTCACAAGCTGGGAGCTGGATGGGATGTGGAGAAGACAGGACACAAACCGGGACTCAGATGGGTTGCCAGCATTTTCAGGCAGAGGATTAGCCAATTGAATCATGGCATCGGCATCCAGAAACTAGAAACTTAGTCCAGGCCTCCCTCATGGATGGGGAAAATGCAAATATGCAAAACATCACCTGTTTATCCCAGAGTGCACAGCAGCAAGGAGTTGGGAATCTAAGAGTTGGGATACAAGTCATTTTGATATAGAATGTGAAGGCTCCAAATGGCATATTAATCAAGATGCCAAATGCCCACGCTGCCTTAAGAGCTAAGTTTAACAAAAGTTTCCATAGGGGTTAAAATATTCAAAATAATTATTAACAAACAGTACTTGAGTAAACCTAATTGGAAGAAAAGCCCATATTTGAAGATCTTTTTCACAATTTAGTTCAGATTTCTTTGGTTACAATTAGTAAATGGTAATTCTTTGGATACAGTTAGTAAAAGGTAATTATACATCTTAAGCTTGGCCCCAGTCATCACAAAATAAAATCCCCCAACCACAGTCTCATAGATAGCAGACAGAAGCAGCCCCTTCTGCTCAGGGTTCCGTACACCGCTGATCGGCTCCTTGATTGTGTTTTACCTATGCATCTCTCTATTGCATCTTAGAAAGGGAGTCTTGCGCATTTATCTAATCAGGGAGCTTTCTTTATTTAACTGGTCTGAATGGCTTGTCTTCACATACCTTTATTTTCTAGGATAAAGGAGGAAATTATATGATCCCAATCTTCATTCTTGGTATCAAGCAAAACCAGGATCAGATCAAATCGACTTAAGAGAGGGCTGCCCAGGGCAATGTTCACAGACACAGACTCCTGTGGATCGTACTGGCCTTTGGGGTTGGCTGCTGCCAGGATGGTGGTCCTTGTGTTCAGCTTGCACACGAGACTAATGAGAGAAAGGGGGAGTACAATTCACTGATGTGAGATTCAAATAAAAAACATAAATCTATTCCTTAATAACAGGCCTGCTCTCGTAGTCTTAAATCTAGAGAAACTACTGTGAAAGACAAAAGTGAAGTAGAGCTATGGTACCAAGTCTGGACAATGGCATGAGGATAGAAGAACATAGGCAACCCCAGGACCCGCCTTCCTGTGCCATTCTCTGCTATCTTCTCCACTTGGCAGGGATGCATGAAGAGCAGCCCTGGAGCCTCAGAGTTACATGAAGGAGCTCAGGCCCCAGATCACGGGGCAGCAGGATACTCTACCCTCCTTCCACACCACACTGGCAGGACCAAGAGACCCAGACAACACTCCTGGTTCAAAGAAGGGCCAGTTTTCTGGCTTTTATTGTTATTATTTGCTTCCCAAGTAAAGCAAGCCCTACTTAAAAATAAAACAAAGCCCCATTTATTTGATAGCAGAATTAGAGGCATGATGCATGACTAAAGAGATATCTTTTTAAAAGATTTATTTATTTTTATTGCAAAGTCCGATATATATAGAGGAGGAGAGAGACAGAGAAAGGAAGATCTTCCATCTGTTGATTTACTCCCCAAGGGCTGCAACAGCCAGAGTTGAGCTGATCCAAAGCCAGGAGTCCAGAGCCTATTCCAAGTCTCCCACACAGGTACAGGGTCCCAAGGCTTTGGGCCATCCTTATCTGCTTTCCCAGGCCACAAGCAGGGAGCTGGATGGGAAGTGGGGCCGTTGGGATTAAAACCAGCACCCATATGGGATTCCAGTGCATGCAAGGCGAGGACTTTATCTGCTAGGCTACCACACTGGGCCCGAAATACATCTTCTGCCTACTGGTTCACTCCCCAGATGTCCATACCCATAGCTGGGCCAGGCTGAAGTCAGGATCCTGGGACTCCTCTGGGTCTTCCACATGAGTGGCAGGGGCTCAAGCACTTAGGCCTTCTTGCACTGCTTTCCCAGGTACATTATTAGCAAGCTGGATTCCAAGTTGGAGCAGCAGTGGTTTGAACTGGTGCTCATATGGGATGCTTAGATTGCGTGTCACGGGAGGCAGATTAACCTGCTGCACTCAGTATGGACGATAAATTTCCACAGAGAAAGAAAAGACAATAGATAGCTCAGAAATTTGAAGATTTGAAGCATTGGCAGAAAAATGCTTCTAGATCCCACATTTAGTAAGACTAAAAAAAAAAAAGTATTTCACCACAAAAGCCAAATAAATGTTCTCAGTTGTATAAAGTGACTTAGACTGATTGTGGTCTCCTGCTTTATATGGCCTTGTGGTGGCAACACTGAATAACAGGACCACAGCCAAATCCTTATCTACAAAGGCAAGATGGACGCGACTTGGTGAAGGGATGGATGAAGAAACTGTCTTTACGTACAACAAAAAGTATTCAGCCTCCAAAAGAAAGGAAATCCTCTAACCTAGACACACCTTGAGCAGAAGCATGTTAAATGAAACAGGCCAGTCACAAAGAGAAACACTGTACAGATTCCACTTAAATAAACTACTTAGAGTAATCCAATTCATTGAAATAGGAAGTAAATGATAATTACCTGAGATTGGGAGCAGAGGAAATGCAGTTTTAACGCATGAGGAGTTTCACTTTGCAAGATGAAAATAGTTCTGGAGATCGGTTGTACAATACGATTCTGAAGTGTATGACTGGGCCCAGCATGGTAGCCTAGCAGCTAAAGTTCTCGCCTTGCACGTGCTGGGATCCCATATGGGCACCAATTCTAATCCCAGCAGCCCCACTTCCCTTCCAGGTCCCTGCTTGTGACCTGGGAAAGCAGTAGAGGATGACCTAAACCCTGCACCCACATGCATGGGAGATCTGGAAGAAGCTCTGAGCTCCTGGCTTCAGATTACTCAGCTCTGGCTGTTATAGTCACTTGTGGAGTGAATCAATGGATGGAGATCTTCCTCTCTGTCTCTCTTCCTCTCTGTATATCTGACTTTCCAATAAAAAAAAATTTTTTAAACCCAATAAAGTGCATGATTAAAATAATTTAGAGAGTGAATTTCAAGTTATGCAATTTTTATGCCATACATACAATGTGTGTCCCACCACCAAAGGTGAGTTTGGGATGTGATTAGGTTTATTTGGGGTTAAACAGGATTGGTGTCTCACACGTGCGTAAGTGACAATTAACTTCTGCCTGAAGTAAGCCACTGGCTGCTACAGTAGTTAGCCCATGCTGACTGATACATGGAAAAATCACTCCAGCAAATAGTCTGGTGAAAATCTATTCCCATGTTTGAATGTCCTCCTTGCCAAAGGAATTAGACCAGAAAACAGCCTGTGACACAGCATTCACAAAGCAGCTTCTAAAATGCCTTTTTAAGATTTATTTATTTCATTTGAAAGCAGAAAGAGAAGGGACCAAAACAGGTCTTCCATTCCATCCACTGCTTCACTTCTCTCTAAATGGCTACAAGAGCCAGGGTTGGTCCAAGCCAAATCCAAGAGCCTGGAACCCTACACTGGTCTCCTGCAGGAATGACAGGAGCCTAGATATATGGACAAGTATCTGTTGCTTTCCCAGGCACATTAGTAAAGAACTAGTTTTAAAGTGGAGCGGCTGGGACTCAAATCACATTCCAATATCAAAAGCAGCAGCTTAACCCACTGCTCCACAATACAGCCCCTAAATTTTCCATTTTAACAGATTCTCAGCTTAGAAGAACTATTTAGCTGTTAAAACAAAGAAATAAGAAATAAAAATCTTTAACATCCAAGACAATGGTTCAATGGCTAAATCCTCACACTGCCTAGTGGTAGGATCGCATATGGGCACGAGTTTGTGTCCTGGCGACTCCACTTTCCATCCAGCTCTCTGCTTTGTGGACTAGCAAAGCAGTGGAGGATGGCCCAAAGTCTTGGAACCCTGAACCTACGTGGGGGAGAGAAAAGAAGCTCCAGGCTCCTGGTTTTGGATCAGCTTAGCTCCGGCTATTGTGGTATTTGGGGAGTGAATTAATGGATGGAAGAACTTTATCTCTCCTCTCCATAAATCTGATCTGCCTTTCTAATAATAATAAAATTGTCAAAAAATTAAAACTCTACAAAGTTATATATAATAAAACATATTAAAGTATTGTCACAACCTATCACTCTCCCCATTTTTTAAGTGGGCAAGTTACCTTTTAAATTTATATTGACTCAAAGATAATAATAAAATCCACAATCAACAGGCAATAGGGAAGAAGAGAGAATGGAAAGTCAAGTCACATAAACCATCTGGAAGGCACAGCAAACTCTGAGGGTGTAATGTGAACTCGCCTTTCCTCATCTTGTTGGCACACCTGGAAGCCTCCAAGGAATACTTTCCCACAGGTTCCAAGGCCCAACAGTCCTTCTGATGGTCACAGTCCTCCAGTAAGGTTGGACACAAAGGGAAGATACCACTACAAGCAGTTTCACAAAATTAGCTTCCTTTCAAATAATTACATGCTGTCACACAGCACTGTACTTGCTAAACACAGGCACCAATCTGCAGTTTAAAAAATGGTTAAATTCAAATTCTGCATCCTTTTTGGTTAAAGCTCATATGTGCATCATGTGATCTTGCATTTCAAAAAAGTCCATTTGCAGAATTAGCACAGTTTAATGGAGCAATCATGTGTGCTGTTCTTATTGTTGATGATTTCTTATACAGTGCATATGCAGCGACACAATTTATAGTAAAATCTTGAGAAATCCCAGCAGTCCTGTAGGACACAACAGACTTAAAGATGAATAAACTTCTACCGCTATGGAGGCGATGAGATCACACAGTTGTTCTTTAATATCTGCTTCAAGTGAATTTCCACCGTCCAAATTATGCTTCAGTAGAATAGTAGATTGAGCAGCACAGAGAAGTTCAGTAATATGTCCAACTGCTAGTAAAATGAGGACAAAATCACCAAGAGCCCTGACCTCTTTGCTCTAAGTCACTATGGTAATTATATGTACGTCCAATGCACTCATGCAGTAACTAAGGAGTTTTTGAGTTTGTTTTCTGAACTTGTTCTATGTCCAGCATAGATTAATATTTCACAACATAATGTGAAATCTTTTTTAGTTATATTCTTTAATAAATGAGCCAGCAGCTGAATCAGCCATAGCTTTATATGTGGGTCAACAAATAAGTAGCAATATTTTATAGATGGAACGTTAAAACATTCGTTGAATGCTTGAATTTCTCATGTAAATCACATGAAAGCACAAAGATACATCCAGAGATAATGCAACTGAAGATAAAACTGGGAGAGATAATATTCTCAAACATACAAACCTAACGTATTTCAAAAAGGACAGGTCTAAAGTGCTAAGAAAGGTAGCTAAGCAGGAATAAAAAAAAATCAAGAGAATAAAATCAAAAAGAAGATCTAAAAATTCAAAGAAAAATGGTTAATATAGTCAATAAAATCTTTTACACATATGAGTTTCTGGAAAATAAAAATGAAGAACAGAATATGCCAAACTACCACTCCAGACAAATTTCCAGAAATAACAAGGTACTTGTACATTGCAGATGCTAATTCATATGCCGAACTACTGACCAGCAATAATCACCCAAGACATAGCCTAGTAAGAATACTTTAAAAAGGAAACAAACGTTTTTTGGCCTCAAAGATACCCTGTGGTATCAGGGATGTCAATAGCAACAGATAAAGCAAGACAATAAGAAAAAGTATAAGCCAAGGTCTTAAATCACTTATTAAGTGTGAAATCTATGAAAAAGAAGTAAGCCAAAGTGGCAGCCCTTCCTGAGAAAGCTGGTAGATGATGAGCTTCACTTCCCCGAGAGGATGGGAATGCCAGGCACTACCCAGAATTCCTAGCAAGTCGCTGACTTCTTCTAAGTAAAGGGTGAAAATGAAGGAACACACACAGCAGTATTTGTTCTGATAAACACAACTTTTTCTAAGTAAAGAGAGTGGGAAAAGCTGAAAGTAGACTAAGCTCAATGAAT